GTAGAATTTTCTGTTACTGCATCCCACCTGGGTGATTTACAGATTGCTCACAAATACGATCACTATCCTTGAAAGCAGGGAACCTGTCTAAATTTCCGAAATTTCCGACGGCAGAATCATTTCCCTGGATCATAAATAGTAACGCCGCTCACCTTTGAAGCCCTTTTACATATTTCAGAATGCGTGCCCCACAGTTCGCAGAAACCAACTGGGAATTAAGTTGGAATCAGCTAAGAATCATCAGGGCCTGCAGCAAGTATAAGGGCCCAGAAGCTGTGGGCCATGGGACATGCTGAGAATGGAGAAGGAAGGGAGGGGACACCCCAGGGACTGGGGAGGATCTGGGTTCGCTGGTGGTATGCCCGGTACCCATAAAAGGCCAGATGGGAAGAGTAAACTTAGGAAGGAGAAGGGATTTCCTACTATTCAGATGTTGGCCAGTAAGTATTTTAAAGCTTATTCTTATCCTACCAGGGGAATGTTGTCCAGTCGATTAACGAGCCTGGTGTGCAGGAAAGCAGATGTTTCTTTTTGCCTTTGGGGAAATTGCCCTTTATCCTTTCCTGAAAAAAAAAAAAGAAACTCTTCTACCTCCTTCACCCACGGCAAGGTTAAGGTTAACAACTGATGAATGGGCGCAAGCACTGCATTTGATGATATGAATGTGTAGTGAAATATCTTTCCCCATCCATGGATGTCCCATCTCTAGTCACGGCGTTCTCCTACGGGTGCCTCCATCTGATGACATTTGGCAACTTTCTCGGCAGTGAAATTCTGAAATGCACGAAAGCTTAGCAAGTGTCTCGGGATCTTCAGTGTGTTCTCTCCACCGCCGCGGCATTTCAGCTATGCATGTTCAAGTCTGGACTCGTTCCCTCTGCCCTTTCAGACTGCAGCTCCCCAAACAGACCCTGGATTCCCCACACACGCAGACTCCAGGGGTGATTTCAAGACAGGCATTATAACCCTCTGCCCAAACAATGATTGACATGGATTCTATCTTGTAGCTGACAAGGAAGCACAAAACCGAGGAACATTTAGCTCGCGATAATATTTAGCAAATGTTAGGAAGAAAAGAAAGCAAGACCCCCCCTGCTTCTTCTCTTCCTGACTGCTAACGTCAGACCTTGCTTTTGATGACTGCCTGGTGGAACAATTGGATCTGAGAGCCAGCCTTGCGCATCAGAGAGTTTTCTTATTAAAAGATGCCGGTCTCCCTTCACGAAGAAAGGTGGGCTGCTAGCATGCGGTGCCTCTCAGACTATCATGGACACACACATGTTTTAGGGCTCCTGTTAAACCATGGGGGAGGCATTCTGGGATGGGACATGAGATTCTGCATTTCTAACAAGCTCTCAGGTGATGCCAGTGCTACTGACCTGTGGAGCACACGTTGAGTCACGGGTATAGTGGAACGATAGAAGCCCTGCAATGAGACAAGCTTCACAATCCTAGATCCCCAGAGCTGACTTCACGAGAGCCAGCTCTTCTCTCTTCACCTTTCTGAAAGCCAGTTCATTTTTTTTAATGGAGTTGATAAACTACTTCATGAAATTGTCCCAATGATAAAATGAGATAAATCATTTTTTAAAGCCTGTAACTGCATCATCCCAGAGCATACACATTGAAATTATAGTTCCCATTATCCATCTCTCTAGGGTGTGATAAGGGAGTGGGTAGAGATAGGGGATATGATTTTATAGCTTCTTTCTACAATCTCTGCTGGCTTAGAAGAACTCGTTGGTAGAAGTGTTCTTATTAAGTATACTGTGAGAATTTTATGAGCATAGTTTTTCGTACACTTATTTAAAAAAGGAAGGAAGAGATGGTAATTGCCTTCGTGATTGGGGCTTTTTGATGGAGGGTGGGAGTTAATACTAATCATGATTAGCAATAAGAAAATATCCTTTCATTTACCTTATGACTCCAGCTGTCTTTACCCGCACACCTGATTGGTATGATGAGCAGGATTTCCTTAGGAAATGCTCCATCCCTGATCACTGAAACATCTCTCTGTCATCCTTTGACAATAAATATCCACTTAATGCCAACAATGCTGGGTGTTCAGTGTGAGTAAGAGTGAGACGTTCAGTCTTCCCAGAATCTTCCTGACCCAGATTGGAAGCAGGACGGAATTTTATGGCATGCTGCAGGCTGAACTATCAACGCTGGCAGCATCTTCACACTTACTGACATGGCTATCAGTCTTAAAAGAAGAAGGAGAGGAGGAGGAAGAGGGAACTAACACTTGCTGGTGAGAGAGTGGAAAAATGAGACTTCCCATCCATTGTGAGTGGGGGGACGCAAAATCAAAGGGCACAGCTGATGTGAGAAACAGTTTGGGGGTTCTACAGCACGATAAATATAACCTTTCAAGATCAAACAGGCGGCATTTGCCCAAGGACAGAGTCGAGAAGGCAGAAAAGCCAGGAAGTAGGAATGGACGCGAGTCACATGGGAAGGGTGAGTGGTGATGTTATATTGTAGTGCTTGCACCACAATGCCACCCACCGCAATGTGGATGGATTACTAAATGAAAAATTGAGTTATCCATTCAACCTTCACCCAATTCACAATTAAAACAAAACCTTAATGCCAAACACAGACTTAACATGGGGCCCAGCATATCCCTTCCTGCTATCGACCCAGAACTTAAAATCAGGGACTCAAGCAGATCTTCTGCGGTGATAAACATTACAGCCTTATTCACATAGCTAAAAGATGGAAAGAACCCAAGTGTAAAGGGATAATGGGTAGGAAAGAGGGAACTGATTACATGGAACTGTGTGTGACCTCCTCCCTGGGGGACAGACAACCGAAAAGTGGATGAAGGGAGACGTCGGACAGGGCAAGATATGACAAAATACCCATTTATAAACTATCAAGGGTTCATGCGGGAGGGGGGAGCGGGGAGGGAGGGGAAAAATGAGGACCTAATGTCGGGGGTTTAAATGGAGAGAAAATGTTTTGAGAAACGATGTACAAATGCGCTTTACACAATTGATGTGTGTATGGATTGGGATAACAGTTGTATGAGCCCCTAATAAAATGTTAAAAAAAAAAAAAAGAAAGAACCCAAGTGCCCACCAACATATGAATGGATAAATCAACTATGGTATATCCATGCAATGATGTATTATTCAGCCATAAAAGAAATGCAGTCTGATACATACTGTAATGTGGATAAAACTCAAATGCATTGTGTTATAAAAGTGTGTAAAGATACTAATGGTCACATAGTGTATGATTGAAATACCCAGATTAGGTACATCCACAGAAATGGGAAGCTGAATGGTGATTGGAGGTGCTGGGGCCAAGAGGGGTGGGTGTGTACCCATATCATGAATGAGTATGAAGTGTCCCTTGGAGGTGATGAAAAGATCTGGGAACTAGATAGACAGGACGGTTGCACACATTGGGACTGTACTGAGATTCCACAGAATAGTACACTTCAAGTGATTGCACGTATGCTGTGTGAATTTCACCTTGAGTAATAATAATAATGACAGCATGCTCCAGACAGAGAAAGACTACAGTCTTATTCCAAAAGTCAGGATTCCCATCCAAGAAGTAAAGATTAAAAACAAGTCCGCTGACAATGGAAGGAAAATGACTACATGGTGTGGTTAGTCACTTTCCCCAATCAAAAGGAACGGAGGAAAGGTTAATGAATACAAGACAAGAATGTGGCTTTTCATCAGGAAGACATGGATATTCCACTTTGGGTCATATTAAATGTTTCCTCTTCGCTGGCTCTACAACATCATCCCACCAGATAGAAATGTAGTTTATGGGCAATGCAATGACGGCACTAATGAGGAGCAGTTTATCCTCCAAAGGGTGCTCCTTGTAAACACTAACCAGCAGCGGCCTGTCCATGATTAGGGGCTATTTGAGGTATGATATGTAATCACAAGAAAGCTATAGTCTACCAGAGCCACAAAACAAAACAAGAATGAGCACAACAGAGGAAGAGTCTGAAAAACCAGCATCAAAACATGTTCTGTTCCAAACTTGCAACAAACACAGTTTAAGAAACCCCCCAACTGGGTATTAGAACTGGAATGAGCCTGGGATATCATGTTGTCCAACAAGCCCTCCCAAGTCAAGTCCCGGCTTTCCATCTCTTACCACACTTCCTACCTACACAGAGACAGTGGCAACCGCCTCCCTTTTCTAGGGCCCTTCAACAGTTATGAAAGTGGTGTGCCAGCCCGGGTCGACTCGAGAAACAAATCCATAGAGACCTACATGTGTATGAGAGAGAGGTTTATATCAAAGAGTGATGGTACGTTATGAAACATCCCAGCCTAGTCTAGATCAAGTCCATAAGTCTGATATTAGCCCATATGCCCGACACCAATCTATAAATACCTCTTCAGACTCAAGAAACACACGCAATGACGCTGAATGCAGGAAGATCACAGGCCGGTGGGTGGGAAGTCTTGTGGCTTCAGTGGCGTTGTGAACATCTCAGCACTGGCAGGGGTCTCCACGAGGCTCCTCCAGTTCCCGGGGCATGAGATCTATCTTCGGAGTACCTTGTGTCTTGTCAGTAGAGCATCTCTCAGGGAGTGAGTAGAGAGAGAGAGACAGAAGTCTCCCGCCTCCAAGGAGGAATTACACACTTCCCAGAATCCTCAGGAGAAGGCCATGTCCAAAAGAGGCTTCACTGGCTATATCAAGATTGATAGGCTAGACTCTACCCCTACACTCTTAATCCTCAAACTGGCCCCAGATTATGTACCTAGCACACGTGGTTTTGCCACTGCATACAATTTTAAAAGTCAGGCTGGGTGAGTACTGATTTTCAACAGGAACTGAACTCCTCGGGAACACGTGGACTTCTTTGAGAGACCTTTCTTTGTTGCTCTATCGATAAGGGTCTCTGAGGGCCGTAACACCTCAGAATGAAACACGTCATTTCAAAAGCACCCACCACTCACAATGGCTGTTAGCTGCCATGGATTGTGAAGACTTAACATACGCTGTTTCCACAGGGTCAGCCAGGGCCAGTCGGCCCCCAGGGATACAACGGGCCCTCCGGATTACAAGGTTTCCCAGGCCTGCAGGGTCGCAAAGGTGACAAAGGGGAAAGGGGACCTCCAGGAATAACAGGCCCCAAAGGAGACGTGGTATGAACACCTGTTAATATGGCCTTCTGATTGGGTGAGGCGGCGGGGGTGGGGGTAGGGGGGTGGGATGGGTGTTTGGGCCTCCATTAAGTTTGTTTGCTTGCTTTATAGGGAGCAAGAGGTGTTTCTGGATTTCCTGGTGCTGATGGAATTCCCGTAAGTTCATTTTTTGTTGTTTGTTTGTTTAAGATTAGAATTTTAAAACCCTGTCACTCTTTTGATCCAATATACTGATGACCGAACGAAACATGACAAAGCCACTTTTGCTTGTAACATACAGCTTCTGCAGCTTCCCATGTAGAATTTCCCTCCTGGAATCCGGTGAAGTATGGGGTGGGTGATCTATCGTGTTCTTTGTAAACTTGACACCAGACTTGACCTCAGAATTGAGGCCGCTCCGCTCTAACGAGATCTTATTTAGTAATAAAAGCTACAGTGTTGTGCAGAGATGTATGCCCAATGAAAAGTCGGTTCGGAGATTCTGTTTGAACTCAAAAACAACCCGAATGCAAAGCCGTCGGGCACAGGAGGCAGGCCGGACATTTGCCCGGCTTCTCAGACGCTTTGTAGTCACCACTCATAAAAAGAGGAAGAGAAAGGGCCTGCTTTGTTCGTGGGAAAATCGCAACCTACAATAAAACGTGTTTTTCTAACCTAGTTCGCTTTGCTTCTTGTGGCACAAAAGTAAATAAATAAGTAAACAAACAAGACGGGCTGACTCACAGTCTTTGTCCCTGGGCTTCCCAAGCAGATTTCTCAGGGCCGGCTTCCTGGCCAGACCCTGACATCAGGACCTTTGTTTATCGCACATTCCGATCCGTCTCCCATGCTTCTACTGCTGCAGTTTGAAGACAGCTGCTTCAGGAGTCCCCCGCCCTATCCCCCCCACCCCAACACACACACACAGATGTTTATGTCCTTCCCTGACATGTTCATGTTCTCTTCACACACGTGCACGGACAGTCTCTTCTTTCTCCAGGAGTTCACAAGTCGGGCTGGTCCTTGGCAGCAGAATAGAAGCAGGGGGATGGATGGAGAGCGGTCACAGGAAATCCAGCCTTTCCCTTTAGATCTTCAGCCGCATGCCCCGTGAGAACTCTGCACCCCACGTGGAAATGGTCATCGTGAAAGTGGGAAAGTCACATTGACCAAGACGTGAGACCTGCAAGGCTGGTGATCCCGAATGGCACCAGAGTGATGAGCTCAAAGCTGCACATTAGCAACCAATAAGGAAAGAACCTTTACATGATTTCGAATCTGGAGGAGTTGACAGAGTTTGGGTTTTGCACCCCCTCCATTTTGGGTTGTTTTTCCTGCCCAACTGCCTAGAATGAAACCACTCACTTTTAGACCTAATTCTGGACCTTTAATAAATGTTATCTTAAATGTGTGCATAAGAAAAGGTGGTGAAGAAAGCTGATGGTGCCCAGCTATCAAAAGCTATAGCATCTGGGGTCTTAAAGGCTTGAAGATAAACAAGCTCAGAAGCAACAAAGCCCACATGGAAGAAGGACACCAGCATGTGTGACCACGAGCTGTCGAAGGGATCAGGTATCAAGCATCTAAGAACAAAAAATCATATCATTGTAAAGGTGGGTGAGTGCAGAGTGGAGACTCAAATCCCATCGGTGGGCAACTGAACACCCCCTTACTGAAGGGCTGTGGGGAGGAGACGAGCCAATCAGGGTGCAGGCTAGCAACGATGAAACATATAACTTTCCTCTAGTTCTTAAATGCTTCCTCCCCGCCACTATCATGCTCCCAATTCTACCTTACAAATCTGGCTAGACCAGAGGATGTACATTGGTACAGATAGCAACTGGAAACACATGGAATCCAGGATAGATGACTCCTGCAGGACCAGTGGTGAGAGGGGGAATGCCTAGAAGGTGAAGGGAATGTGGAGTAGAAAGGGGGAACCGATTACAAGAATCTACATATAGCCTCCTCCCTGGGGAATGGACAGCAGAGAAGAGGGCGGAGGGAGACATCGGACAGTGTAACTTATGACAAAAGTATAATAATTTCATGAGGGAGGGGGAGTGGAGAGGGAGGGGGGAAATGAGCAACTGATATTAAGGGCTAAAGTAGAAGGCAAATATTTTGAGAATGATGAGGGCAACAAATGTACATCTGTGCTTGACAATGGATGGATTGTGGTAAGAATTGTACGAGCCCCCGATAAAATAATTTAAAATAAATAAATGTTGTCTTTCAGTAATTGAAATCTGAGTTTAAATGTAGTGATCTGATAGAAAAGAAACTGTAACATCGCTGTATCATATCTGACTTCGTTTTTCGCTCTCCCAAGTCAGGTAACGTCAAGAGCCAGTATAACAGAAATCAGGGAGGAACGCATTGTTTTATGGGGAATAGTTGGGTGAACAGATAACTGTTATTTTCTGAAGACTCTTGGGCTAGCTCTAGAATCTTCTTTTTTTTTAAATCATTTAATTGTGGGCTCTTACAGCTCTTATAATATCCCGTATAGCAATTGTATCAAGCATATTTGCGCATATGTTGCCATTATCATTTCCAAAGTATTTTCTACGTGAGCCCTTGGTATAAGCTCCTCTTTTTTCCCCTCCCTTCCCTACCCTCCCTCCCTCATGGATCCTTGATCAATTATATATTGTTATTATTATTTCATATCTTACACTGCCCGTTGTCTCCCTTCACCCACATCTCTGTTATTCATCCCCTTTGGGGGTGGGGTGGGGGTGGGGCTATATATCCAATCTTGTGATGAGGTCCCCCTTTCTCACCCTTCCCCCTCCCTGGCCATCCCCCTACCCTCTTGATATTGCTACTCCCACGACTGTTCTTGAGGGGTTATCTGTCCTGAGTTCCATGTATTGAGAGCTCTTATATGTACCAATGTGTGTTCTCCGGTCTAGCCGATTTGTAAGGTGGAACAGTTCAGGAATCTGGAGGCTGCTCAATCTCAGAGCGCAGGCGATGCAAATTAAGTGAATTTAACAATCAGCTACTATCACTGCTCAGTTCAAGAATGCCCAGTTGGAGGGAGCTGGGTAATTTTAGCTCCTCAGCGTCACATTTAACAGTATCTAAAAGTGATGTGCAGTACAATCTTGGGAGTTGCATCCTAAAGAAAAGTATCTCATTTGATGCAGACGAGTAGGAGGTGAACTCGCTGCTCAGTGTGACGGACCTTTCTCAGAAGCACGATTTCAAAGTAAGATCAGGTGGACAGACAATTCCAAGTGATTTCAATAAAATCTGAGTGAGTAAGAAAGGCCGAGAGCCCACAGACAATCCAGAAGAGGAACAAAGAACTTAGCAACACGTGTTTAAGCAATAGGATCCCGGAATGCTGAAGACCTGGAACAGGATGCTAGAGAGCTTGTTGTCTGTCTCAGGCTAGCTTTACAAGACCAGACTTCCTTCTGTCTTTACCTTTAAGGAAATCATCAGACACCTATCTGTAGCCAAACAGCGTCAGAGATTGTGTTCCTTGATACCGAGCCGCCCCAGGGGATTCCTCTGACTCACCAGACAGGTTTCCTGGAAAGTCTGCCTCATGTCTCGTGTGACATCAAGAATGAAAGTTCAAAAGCCATGGCTTTGAATGGCCAAGGCAGCGCGATGGGCAAATAAAAGGAAAACCCCCCTTTCTATTTTATTTTTTGCCATCATTCAGGCTACAGGGGCCTGGAGGCAGGACTTGGTTCCCATTTGCACATTTCTCCAAGTCCATCTGCAAAACCTCCATCCTGAAGGACCTCAAAAATCACCCTGAAATAGGGGTTTGGCGTCTTATCAAGAAAAGCAAAATTTAGAAGCGACTGCTCAATAGTAAACATCTCGAAGCATCTGCTATTTGGAGAAATGACAAAACGGACTGTCGTCGCATAGTACCTAAACCATTCATCCCCCAGGTCTCTGAAACCAGGTGGATTGAGTTGAGCTGTTTACAACGGAACTGAACCCTCCCTCTGTCCAGTTCTTCAAAAGACATTTGACCGCGTTTCCTCCCCTGCCCCTGATGTCTCAGAGAAGCTGATATGCTTCATGTTGGTGTTTAAGACCTAAAAGCTCCTGTTCCCAAAGCAAGTATATGAGAGGAAATCCCGCTCTTTCAAATACGGCAAAGCCATTGCTGAAATCACCTTTGTGGGTGTGAAAATCTTACTTCTTTAGAATGTGAACCTCTTAAACTACCCATCTAGAATTTGGTTGTGCAGAACTGGTTAAAAAACAAACAAACAACAAAACAGCCCCCTTGTTATCCCTCAGAAGAAGCTAGCCCCTTCTAGGATGTTTAAAATTCTCTCATACTTGGCTTTGCTAAAACACAGCCACCCGTTTTGGGTGGTGAAGCAGGGTAGGAGATTCCCTGAAGGCAACTACTGTCTCAGCCAAGCACATGAGCAACAGAGATTGGTCGGGAACACCTGGGCCCTGCTGAGAGCCACACCTGTGCCTTTGTTTCTTTACTCTTTCACTCATTGATTGCTCCGCCCCTGTTGAGTTACCTTTGCTCTGGGATTCATGCAGTGGCTCGGAGAAGAACAGTGCGAGCCGCTATGCTCCAGTTACCTGGAAACCAAAACAAAATGAGCTAAAAGATTCTTATGTTTCTCTTCCCCAGGGACATCCAGGGCAAGGTGGGCCCAGAGGAAGGCCTGGTTACGATGGCTGCAATGGGACCAGGGGAGACGCAGGTCCACCAGGTACCCCAGGCTCCGAGGGAATTCCCGGCTACCCTGTGAGTATGAGCGCAGCACCTGGACCGTCGTCAGTTGCTGTTGCTAGCTGCCATCCAGGCGGTCCCTGACTCGTGGATCCTGTCACAATGGCATAAAGTGATGTCCGTGACTGGGTCCTCCCATGATGGGTTGTGGCTCATTCAAGCCCTCGGGTTTCATTGACTGACTTTTGGAAGATCACCAAGCCTTTGCTCCTAATCCATCTCCATTTGAAAGCTCTGCTGAAACCTGCCCAGCATCATAGCAATACAGACGCCCCCCCACTGGCAGATAGAGGGCAGAGGGACACCAGCTGAGAACCAAATCCAATGTGTCCTGCATGCGCGGCAAGAATTCTATCCCTGACCCACCGTGCCCCCAATTACTGAATTGCTGGGTACTTGTCAGTGAAAATATGTAAAAGAGGCCACGTCCTGAACATTTCTCCCG